CCCACCCCTCGTAATGTCTCACGCAACATATTTATTATACTGTAATAGGTGCGAAATAAATAAAACTAGAAAAGGATATTACACATAATCACCAGCGTAATTGTTTTTTGCTTATCGCGAATGTCATCGAACGTCTCTGCATATCCCATCCAACGTTAAATCATTCAAGGTGAACATAGTGATACGATGAGATGATTTATGATGATGATGTCATCGTGGAAGATAATGCATCCCTCTTGTCTCTCGAATCTTAATATTAGTAAAACGAATGAGTTAGAAATTTAACAGTGAGTAATAAAGATATACTGCCATACAAGTGTCACAATAATAAAACCAAGTTTTTTTTTATATCGTTAACAATTGCAAGATTTAAAATGTTTTCGTCCAAGCGTTTGACCGAGTTCGTGAGATGATTTCCTAATTATTCAATTATTCTCTGTTTAATGTATCTCGCCGTTTATTTCAATGTCTTTAGCTTTCTCTTGACCTATGGTACATATTCCTTTTAAACTGTTAAGTTCTAAGCATCTCCAATTTAGGAACTGAAATAACGAATAAAAAGAGGCAGATTGTAACTGATATCGAGATACAGTGCATGCTCAGTTGCCAACATATGTTTGTTTAAATAAAACATTTGATAAAAGAGCCTCTTGTCTTAGATAATATATCTTGATAAATCTCTTAAGATGGTGTTTCTCGAGAGATCGTTCTCAGTATTCCTCAAATTTTCTCAAGCTCTTATATAAGGTATTTTTTACAACGCTTGCAATAGAATTCCGTTTATCTCCATTTATACGAACAAGTTTGTGCTCAGTTCCAAACGTACTCATACGAACTCACAGCTGAGCTCTTATTATTCGAATGTTCGAATAATAAAAGCTCGACGAACACCATATATTAGGAGAAAAAACGTTAAAGAAGAAACGATATTACGGACTCATTACAAATATTATATAGTTAAGTTATGGCCTGAAAATGAGGAACGTATGTATATAAATACCCCCCTCCTCGTAATGTCTCATGCAACATATTTATTATATTGAACTTCAATTTTCTGAACGTTTTCTGAGCTCCTACGAAGTACTATTAAGTACTGGTGGAGAGGCGAGTTGAGTCTCTGTATCTGAACCATTATTCAGTTAAAACGTAATTGTCTTGTCCCCCGACGTGTTCAAATAAACGGAATTCTACTGCATGTGAGCAAAATTTTCACGTAATATTTCTTTGTTGTGGATAAAAAATCAAGCGACACGCATTCGTATTTATATGAGGTGAGTGCCTTATAGACTATTCAACATATATTATCGTTTCTTGAATTTAATAAATTTTAAATGTAAGTCAATCGGAGAAAAAGATAAGAGGCCGAGTCAAATGATGGCAAGAAATGTAATGAATATTTGCGATGTGACTGAAACATATTTGCTGACTTTCAGATTAAATAAGTCGAAACAGAGCAACAGAGAAAAATTGAAGAAACACTTTTAATTTTAAAGTTTACGCGCGTCTAAATTTTGACACCTTGAAGTTAATTGAAGATATCTAACATATACTTGTTATTTTTAGCAAGAGATAATAGTTCTTATAGTTATCAGAGATATCGATTTTACCAAACATCCTTACATTCCTTTTATTATTCATATATAATGGATCTTAGCTGCTTGTTTGAGTTGCATTCGCCTCTATAATTGCATAACTTTAATTCGGCTCATTGTGACATTTTTTATATAATACATAAATGTCTCGATGTGTGTATGTACGTACCGAAAATGATTTCTCTTACAAAGGCTTTTTAATTTCTTATTTAATATTCTCTAATAAATTTCCTTGAAAAAGATTCGTTAAATTATAGATTGATCCTACGAATTTCTCAAAATTATAAAATGTAATTCTTAATTACATTATTTTTATAACAGCGTGTTTTATAAAATCAGCTGCAATGTCGAAGTCATTACTATCGAAACATTACTTCGTCATTACTTTGAATTTCCCAAAATTATAAAATGTAATTCTTAATTACGTTACTTTTATAGCAATGTATTCCATAAAATCAGCTGCAATGTCGAAGTCATTATTATCGAAACATAAACTGATAATAACAACACTGATCGGTGTGACCATTGGAATATCGTGCGGCTTGTGTCTTAAGCACTATAGAAAAACGTGGTCTCAGCGCGATATTATGTACATTAAATTTCCTGGCGAGATGTTTCTTAAAACTGTAAGTTGTTTAGTACTACCGCTCGTCACGTCCAGCATTGTAAGTGCCACTTGTAATCTCACCAGATCTGGTAAGTCCTTTAAGATCATCAAAGTTTCTGCTTAACGAGATTATATCATATCTTGTTTTATACTATAAAAATGAATTAAAGAAAAAAATCAGATACATATATGCGATTTAATTATATTTATAAAACATTTTATATAAAGAAATTATAGAAAAATGCAAAGAAAAAGGGGGATCGAAAGTTACATTCTTAAAGTTTATTGTGATTGCACAGGACCTATTGGATTGATGGCATTGTGCTATTATCTAACAACTACTACAATTGGAATAACTTTATGTGTTGTACTTGTTGAGACTATCCGGCCGGGCGAATTAGTGAGGAATGAAGGGATTAGTTCACAAAACTCCACAAAAACCATTATGACAGTGGATACAATTCTGGATCTGTTTCGGTGATTAAATAAATACATGTACACTATTGAAATTTATTGCTACATTATTAAAGCTTTCTCGCCTCGAAACCAATATCTTTTTGCGCGAATGTAAAACATAATAGTTGCGAAACTTGATAAGAGGGAAAGAATATAAATAAAAATAGAATAGAATAGAATATAATAGCAATCCATTTGAAAGATAAGTAATCGTCTATGTTTAAAAAAATTTTGGTTTTTTGAGCGGAATTTAAAATATTTTACATAAGAAGTCTTTTTCTTGTAAAATCGTATATATATATATATAAATATATGTTTCTTTTTTCTTACAGTAATCTTCTTCCCGAGAATTTAATACAAGCATGCATGTATCAGGTTTGTTTACGTATAATTTTAACTGCATTATTTCTTCTCAAAAATAAAAGTCCTCTTGCAGCATCTAAAAAATCTTAAAATTAATTAATTCTCTTATTATTATTCTTTTATTACAGTATCAAACTGTTTTAGAACAATCGACCAATGCATCAGGTATTATAACATGCTAGACATATTTTTATTCGCTTGTATAGCCTCTTTCTTTTTTTTTCTAATTTTATTAAATTTCCAATTATTTCTTTCTCAATTAGAGTTTAATTTTTTAGATAAATTTTTTTAGAACGATATATTGGAAAAGGGCTTATTTCGGGAAATGGTGACCTTTGAGACGACAAATAACAAAAGCTTTAGTTCATGTTAATTTTACATAGGCTTTTATGTGTGTTGCTTCAGCTGTTGGCGAAAGTATAAGTGCAGAAAATGTAAACTAATTGTAACGTAATTGTTTTAAAATTACTGTCATTTTATGAAAGTACATTTTTTATTTACAGTACCGATAGAAGAATGGTCTATAAAGAGCGAATATGTGGCAGGGACAAACGTCGTGGGTTTAGTATTTTACAGTCTATTATTAGGTTCAGCAATCACAAAAATAGGTGCAAAAGGAAAGCCATTGTCGGATCTTTTTACTTCCTTGGCCGATGTCACGATGAAAATTATGAAATGGATAACATTGTACGTTGCGTTACAGTATAAAACTTCGTAATAATATAATCAACAATGATAAAAGATCTGTAATATATAAAATATATTAGATTAGCATATATTACAATAAAACTTTTCGATTTAGCATGGCACCGATAGGGGTGGCATTCCTTATCGCTGGTCGAATTCTGGAAATAGACAATTTCGGCGACATAATAAGTCATCTCGGATTTTACATCTTAACAGTGTTTGTTGGATTAATACTGCAAGGCTTTGTGATCCTGCCCTTCCTTCACTGGATCATCACGCGTAGATCGCCGTATAAAATTATATTCAAGCTCGGCCCGGCTTTTGCAACAGCCATCGGAACGTCGTCGAGGTACAGAAGTAAGAAATAAAATTGACAAATAAAACAAAAAGCTTCGCGTTCTAATTAAGCGTTCTAATATAATGTAGCACCGCCACGGTTCCCTACACGATAAGATGTTTGGAAGACTTCGGCATAAATCCCAAAATAACGAAGTTTATTATACCGATTGGGGCGGCAATAAATATGGACGGAATAGCGCTGTACGAAACTGTCGGGGCGATATTTATTATACAATTACGTGGGCTGCAATTCTCACTGTTGAAAATAATAATTATCAGGTCGGTGATTAAAACGTGAATGCGATTGAGCGACACTTTTTTTTTGGAGAAATATTCAAATTTGAAACAATACAATCTGCAAACATTTTAACTCTTTATGTAACTTCAACATTTACTGTTCTAGTATTACATGCACGGTATCCTGCGTGGGCGCCGCCGGCATACCCAGTGGTGGGTATATGATGTTAATAATGGTGTTAAATTCTATAGGAGTACCCGTGGAAGATGTTTCGCTGATTATCGCCGTCGACTGGTTCGTGTAAGTATATGGTATCGCTCGACATGTTACGTAAGCAAAAATAATGTTCTTTTTCCTCTCTTTTAAACTGAGAGATAAATTTCATACGAATTTCACAAATATATTCTTCTTCCACTGTGCGATAAAAAAGAAAATTATTTTGCAGCGATCGTTTCAGGACAACAATCAATATTATAGCCGACGCGCTTGGTGCAAGCATTATATCTCGCTTTTGCAGTAAGAATCTGGAAGAAGCTCTGAAAGAGGATTTGAAAGAAAATCTGAAAAACGATCTCGAAGACGAAACATGTCCATTACAAACAAATGTCTGCGATATGTCTATGAAAGTGCATAATGAAAAATAGAAATTTAAAAATATTTTATTATTATTAAACTTAAAAGTACGAAAATACAGTTTTGTCTTAATCTTGAAAACTTGTACTTATTCAGCAAAACGAGCGAAATTTACAGTAAGCATGGCAAACTTTGCATTAACATAATTTGTTGGATTAAATTTTCCTTAGTATGTAACATAAATAGCATTCACGTTAATATTCCTTCACATTGCGTTATAAATTTAAAAAAAGAAAAGTTTAACATATTATCAAAAAATATCTATATATATATATATTTTTATAATCAAGAACTAAATATATCTTTATTGTACGATAGATTCTTTCTGTTGTAGCTCATTGTTTTTCATAATGATTTACGAATTGTGCTCACGAATTTGTCCATTTCAAATAAAACACAAAGACTTTAATTGGAAATCTAATCTAAGAATATACATCTACAATAAAATTTAAAATATTTAAAAAATAGTTGTAAAAATGACACTTATTTTTTCTTTCTAGTAAAAAATGCTTGTAAAATGATTCTTTGATAAACGGTTTTGACGTACTTTTACGAATTTTTCTCCTCAAGTTGAACAATTACGCTTTTCACTTCCGTGTATGCCTCAAGACCATACTCTCCGAGTTCTCTGCCATGTCCAGACATTTTGAAGCCACCAAACGGCACTTGAGGAACTATCGTATTATATGTGTTGACCCTGCATAAAAATCAACGAGATTAACTTGTATCTTTTTTTTTTTTAGGGCTCATAGCTTCGTCCTTTATATCTCAAGACGACTTACCACACGGTACCAGCACGAAGTCCTTGCACTATGTAATTCGCCTTATTAAGATCTTTCGTAAAAACTGCAGCAGCTAATCCGTAATCGGTGTCATTGGCGCGTTCAATGACTTCTTCTATATCGTCGAACTTCAGGATTTGCTGCACCGGACCAAATATCTGTCAAAAGAGCAGCGTATGTAGATCTCATTTCAATTTCAATATGCTACGTCACGTCTTACTGACGAGAGATTTTAACGCTCACCTCCTCCCTCGCTATAGTCATATCGTCTTTGACGTCTGCAAATACCGTTGGAGCAACGAAGTAGCCTCTATCGCCGACGCGCTCGCCACCTGTTACCAAGCAAGCGCCTTGATTTTTCCCAGTTTCGATCAGACGCATAATTTTATTCAGCTGGTCCTCGTCGATCTTAAACGATATTAACAGCATAACAATATCTAATATGTTGACATTGGCACCTAATCCGCATGAATTTAAATACCTGTGGACCTTGCTCTATTTTCAAGTCAAACGGATCTCCTACGGTCTTAGACTTAGCGCGAAGCGCGCTTTTCTCGACGAATTCGTTGTAAATGTTCGACTGAACGAAGGTTCTTGATCCTGCGCAGCAGCATTGACCCTGGCGAAAATTTAATTTGACAATAAGTGATACACACGAAGAAAGAATGAAGGAGTCGCCTGTGCGACTAAATGACACGTTAAGAATAGATTACCATATTAAAGAATAATCCAAAGTGCGCTGTTTCCACCGCTAGATTTACGTCGACATCCTTAAGAATGATATTGGGGGACTTTCCACCTAACTCCAGCGTAGTCCTCTTTAAATCGCTTTTAGCAGCGTTTTGTTTTATTATCTGGCCGACCTCGGTAGAACCCGTAAACGCGATCTTGTCGACCTTGTTGTGATCGACTAACGCAGCACCGGTTTTACCATAACCGGGAACGACGTTCACCACCCCGTCAGGAAATCCAGCTTCTTTGGTCAGTTGTGCCATATAAAGAGCCGTTAACGGAGTCTGTTCGGCAGGCTTCAGAACAATCACGTTTCCTAAGGGATAAAATAATTGATTCCAACTTTGTATATGTACTAAGGGAATTTACAATTCCAAAGGATAATCGTTAATTACGATGAGAACTGAAGGAGGTAGTAAACTATGTAATTTGTATGCGAGCAGTATTACCTGTAGCTAAAGCCGGTGCTATCTTCCACGCCATCATCACAACAGGGAAGTTCCACGGGATAATTTGACCGCATACTCCCACCGGCTCGTGTCTGGTGTATGCAAAGAGCTTCCCATCAGCCGGGATAACTTTCCCGTGATTTTTGTCAGCCCATCCCGCGTAATATCTCAACACTCCAATGCTCATGGGCACGTCCACGTTGTATGACATCGAATAAGGTTTGCCGTTGTCCAAAGTTTCTAAGGACTGATATATAATATACAGACAATGAATTAACTTGCTCGTAAAAAATTTAGACAAACCGAATGTTGCATTAATTTTTTTTCGATCCAAATAACTTCGGAAAGTTCCGCGGTAGTTTTTAATTCACGTTAAATATTCTAACAAGTTTTTTAATAAGTAAAACGATTATAGAAATATCGCGTATAACCGCGTTCGCAGTAAAATTTGAATTGCTAATGAAGAACGATGCATTATATTTGAATTAATAACATAAATGTATTTATAGAACGAAGATCGAAAAATATTTTGCAACCTCTTTGCACCAATTTAAAAAAGATAAAAAGATATCGTTATTTCTTCTTGTGTGAAAGCTGAAGTAAATATTATTCTTAGATATCGTTATATAAGAAGCACAAATAAAACCCTTAGGTTATCCTCTAAACTCTAAAGATTACCTATCACTAAATACATATATGTCGGTATTTTTTATTTCCACGTATAAGATGCCTCTTATTAAGTGTACGTGAAATCAATATATTGCGAATTACCGCGATATATTTCCGATCGCGCTCGACCAAATCTGCCAGTCGGTTCAAGAGGACCCCCCTTTGGGAGGCGTCCATAGTTCTCCATGGTGAGTTCCTTTTGAAAGCCTTATTGGCAGCCTGCACCGCAACATCGACGTCCGCGGTATCGCCTTCCTGCACGTTGGCGATTATCTCGCCTGTGGCGGGATTGATAGTGGGAAAGGTCTTCTCGCTCTTGGACTTGTGCCATTCGTTGTTAATAAATATCTGTAACAAACGCAAAATATACATTTATACAGCGCACTCCTTTCCCAGTGCGCGTTTCTTATCTATCGTAGCAAAAAAAAAACGTGTCGCAAACGTTACAAAGCAAGAAATTCATATGCAGTCGTGTGTCTTGTTGATAAGAATGTCGCAGACGCGAGATACGAAGCACCGTTCGTATAACAAATACTGTTATTTACTTCAGTTTACTTGGATTAGAAAATTGTTATCGTGAGAATTATGTAACTCGATATTTATGCAAACCATATTTTAATTGGGAAATTAATTGAATACGGCGCATGTAGATCAAGCATTCCAATCTCGCATTTTGATAACGTATAGAACAGTCTCTTGTTACAAGATAGAACAAGAGAAGTTTGATTCTGAGCGGCTTAGAGTTATCTCTTTTAAATTAAATTAAATAAAAGAAAATACTCGAATGCTTGATCTTTGTGTAATAGGATGTCCTCTTGAATTAAGTAAACGAAGATGCAGTTCGGAGCGGATTACTGCTGCAGAATGGAGCGGATAATATTTCGTCGAGTACGACGAAATTATACACGAAACTTACGGAAAGTATAAACGAGGATGCAGTTCGCAGTAGAAATTCATGTCGATCGATCGTTCGTTAAATCTCCGTTAATTCCCTGGTTTCCGTCGCCGCGAAATATCGTGGTATCCGTGCAACAAGAATTCGATAAGATAATATATGCACTGTGACTGTCAAATCGAAATCTACGAGCCGTGATGTAATATATTTTAATAAATTTACGTTCAGGCGTTTACAATATAAATTCTCAATATTCTTATATTATGCGGCAAAGCCATAATAAATCGAATTACATATATATCTTTCTAAAGTCCCCGATGACAATTGAACATGTTGGGTTAAAAAGCAACAGGAAAAAATCGCGTACGCGACGAAATATGTTATCCGCTCCATTCGCTACTAAGTAATTAATCTACAGCGTATCCTTGAACGGCAATGAACGCAGCATTCTCTTTTTTTGTATTCCCCTTCTTGTATTCTTAGACGTAGTAAGTCCTTCTCACGTCTATATTCTAACGTGACTAATTCAATGGGAAACAAATGACTAGAAGACGTCATTTTAAATATCAACTTCTTCACGCGATGTCGTAGATCAAAGTAAAACTCATAAACGCAAGTGATCATAAAAAAACACGTCTTTAAATTTCATAGATCCTTAATTTATGGCGTTTTTCAGGCTTCTTAATTAATGACGTACTTATTACTAACGCATTAATAAAATATAAATTTATTGCTGTGCCTGCGTAAGAATTTACAGGTTCTGCTTACGTAATGTGGTATTCTAGAATTTTGCAAATCAGGTTGAAGGATTATTACGCATCAATTATGTATATTAAAATACATCGTAAAATAACGAGCGAGAAATGACTCGTCAAAATTGATTTCAATCCGATGTCGATACGATATATACCTATATAATTTTCGACATCGATTCGACGTTTAATTAACAATAATTTCTCACTGAAAAGTGCGATAAATAAAAAAGAAATTGTATTAGATTATAAGTAGAAAAATATAGAAAATAAAAAATTATAAACTAAATTATAAACAGTAAAACGAGAGTTACAAATTAAATTAAATAATACTCGTATCTTGAAATCTGTAATTCTCAAATAAATTTGAACTTGTTTTTTTTGTAAAAACAAATTAGCAATTTACAAATGCTAAGAGAACAATAATCTCTGTAATAATCCTAACCTTCGAGCAGATTAAGACAACACAATTTTGACTTTTTTCAAGCTCCGATTATTCGACAATTAATTCAACTAATTTAAAGCAAAATTTTGTTAACTACATGTAACTCGCGTTCCCGTTTTAATCTTTTTCTTTTCACATGTTAAACGATAAAATATTAATAATTCCATTCGGACTAAGAAAATAAAACAGATATGACTCGACAAGTTCATCGCCAGACTTCGAACTGAATTAGTTACAATGCGTCGACGTTCATTTGTCAGCTTGCAAACTAATTATTTTTTCAAAATTGCTTCCCAAGCCGCGGAGCTCCTTGGTATATAGAAGGCAACAGCGCACAGGCTCACGAACGTAACAACATAATTATCGTAATTACTGATGTCAAAATGGCGGTTTTTTGTCGTCAACTTAATTACTGACACTTGATCACGTCGAATCGCAAGCGGGTCATTAAATTTCATTATCATCCGCTACATACTGTGCCAACAAATGTGTACATACACACGGTGGAGCATTGCAAAATTTGCGAGTAGAAGCGTCGTGCGACGCTGAATTACCGTTGATTCGCGGGACGCTTTGCGGAATTCATTCCGCCGTTTGCTCCGCACTTGGCCGCTCAGGAATTTCTTTAAGAACGTATATGAATACGTCGCGTGACCCGATCCTTGTTTACAATTAGATAACAAGCGCAGAAGCGCAGACTCAATTTCGCCGAAAAAGATACTTTCGACGCCTATCGAGATGCATTTTAGAAAGGTCGATCCATACAGTCAACATGAGATTCAGAAAGGTCAATAACGGCCAAAAATATCTCGATTACGTCTACTCCACTTTTACGTCTGCGAGTCAAATATCCTCCTTCGCCTTTTTAACGACTTCCCTTCGATGCTCGTGAAAATTTTGTAATCGCCATATTCATTGCCAGATGCACGAGCATGACAGACCACGACAATGTACGCAATACGGATACATTCATCTCGACAATATATAGATTCACCTTCCGTCATATCACTTACGCCTGTGTACAAGATCGGCGGGTTCGTGTCTGGCGCCGGTAGAGTAGCCGCGGCCGAGTAGCGTCGCAGATGTTGGAATCTTTTCAGCACGCGCAACATGTTGCCACGGAGACGAGACAAGCGTTCCCTCGACTCGCAAGGAGCAGACTGATGAGACTGATTCGATTATTGATGGTGCCGGCCGACCTTCTCCCGCGTCGTCGCTCCGTAAAATTGCGAGATCTAGTGACACGCTCGGCTCCGGCCAAACGCGCGTGCTCTACTTTCGCCGCGCAAGCTTAACAATGTACTAGTAACATTTTACGCGGTCACATCCGCGCGTTTATCTGTTTTTTTTTATCTCTTCATACACAGTTCAATAAAAATAAAAATAAACGATCGTTATTCATCGTTCGATAAAAATAAAAATAAACTCACATAAATCGACGACGAATTGAAAAAGCTGTTTGCAACAATATCGATTAATAACAATTTTAAAATTAGGAATATAGAAGAATTTTATCTCGTCGTGGAGCAGTTTCAAAATATTCGCGAATATTGAGATTTATACATACGTCTTCTCTGTACAAAGAATTATAATATTAAATTTATAGGAGTTATACAAAACGTGTTACACAACATTATGTAAAACGCGAGTATTTTTCAAGTCGAGGAATATTCCGACAAATGTTTAGGATACGTTTACATATTTAAACTTGGCATTATAATTTTATCAAGATAAATTAACGAGGAATATATATCGATTATTATATAATAAAAAATAAGATATAGTATATTCAAAACAGTAGAATACAAATTCGTCTACGTATAGATATAAGGAAATATGCATCGGAAAATATTAAAACCGATTAAGATATCATTGTAGATAACATAATTGTGATAAGAACGACGGTATAATGGTTCGTTTGTGAAATAAAACTTATCTATTTTTAGACTTCCCAACTGACCGAAAAAAAAACCTGTTTTATATATGTATATGTAGTGAATTCTATTACATTCAATCAGATAAAAAGGTAAAGAAAAAAAATAAAATAAAATCAACATGTACATTTTTAATAATGTAATCGCTAATTACTCATTTTCCATAGCGAAAAGTAATAATTATAGCTGTATATGTACAGGACAGATCTTATGTCGCGTATAAAAATATTTAGCGTATTCCAAACATCCATCTCGATTTTCGTGTTATGTATGCGTATATTTCATGTATTTTATTCTTTCAAGTTTATAAGTTTTATCAAGCGGGATTGGTGCTTTTTCTTCTTTTGGGCTCGCGATTCTCCTCCGTCGCCCGATTTCTTTTCTGTGGCGCCTTCGGGTTCGCAGACTTGTCGCGCAAATCCCCGTTTTGAAAGACTTCCTCTGTCGCGTCCCCTTCGTCTTCTGGCAAACTGACACTGCTAAATTTGAACACCTCCACATCCTGAGACATAACTTTCGCGCGTAATTCACGCGCTTCTTTCTTCAGCAACAGCTTCTCCCTTTGTCTACTCTTCTTTTTCTTTTTCTTCTGCTCGTTATTGCTATGTGCGACCTCCTCTGGCTCCTCCTCTTCTTTCTCCTCCTCCGAATCACTTGTCGTTCCGTTTTGCGATCCGACATTGCTCTGTTTGCCATTACTTTGTGAAACAGTCTCGGTGGAAGAACTATTCAGCTTAGCATTGCTCTTTGTTGATGGCCTGACGATACGAATTATATAAAGTAATACAAGGAAATCCCACAAGTTAAATATGTATATAAACAAGACAATTTCTGAGAATTATTATTATTACACTTACACGTTGAGGGGTGCTCCAATCTCTGCCGCCAGCTTGTTGTACGCGGTTTTTGCATCTCCAAAGAGAGCATTTCGACTTCTGTACTTTGTTAGTTCCGCTTTAACGGCTTGCCAATCCCACGCTTGTGGCAAATGGCGCGCGTGAACGACACGCAGTAGCATCAACAGATGCCCGATAAACTTCTGCAAAACTTTTTTCTGCGCGCTAACATTGTTACACGAGGTAGATTGTCCGTTATCGCTCGCCTGTAGATCGCATGTCTCTTTAAGCGTGTCTACGGTGTTCTTACAAAGTGTCGCTTCTAATTTCATTCTCATGTCGGCACACCTCGTATCCATGTTCAGCAGCCGGTTATTGTTGTAGAAAATTAACAGCAGTTCCAGCGCCTGATTCCTGCGGAAGTATCGAATGCTACTGTCGAAGGCAAAGTCCACCTGCGACAATCAAATGGCATTCCGTAAGGTGTTTCGCACGAAGATATTGGTACATGTAATCTCACGTTAAATACATACGAGCAGAAGCGCCAGCTGCCAGTTATCCTCCCAGCACAACTGTAACGCGCCCTTGAACAGCATAGGCGAGAGCACGCAGTCTCTCTTCTTGAAGAACGCGGTTAAATTTTCACCGTAAATTTCTACAATACTTTTGGTGGACAAATTAGCTTGTTGCGCGCATCTCACGAGGAAGGTGCAGCATTCCGCCAATTTATCATTGAGTTCTTGACAGACTGAAGCAGACCGCTCCCCTTTTTCGATCAAAGCCTTAAAGGAACGTACAATTATGTCGATTAATCCTGCAAACCTGCGCTACGAATCGCTACAAATTTGATCGCTACAAATAATTTTACCTTTAACACGGTCGTTAACAAAGTATCGTCAACATTTGTCGTGTCCTTGAACTTTCTCACCGTTGACAACTTCTTCAAGCAAGCCCGAACTCTGTGCGTGAGCGGTTTCTGATGCGGATCCTTTATACAGAATTCAAGCAGAGCGAAGAGCGGCACGATCATGTCTAGAGTGACCGCCATAGACGGGCAAATGTCCAAATAGATATGTAGCAAGTCTATAACGCGAGCTCGGAAGTGCATCAACGCCTGGCTCGTCTTTCCTTGCCTCTTCGAACGAGCTTGCCGGTTCTCCCGTAACATTTTAAAAGCCGCCGCTAACGACTCGTCCAAACGCTTGCCCTCTTCCTCGCCTATCTCATCCACGTCGATGTCCTCGTCGTCGGTCTGCATCGCGGCATCGCCCAGGGCTTGATGTAGCGCCATTCTCAATTTATCGGTCACGGTTTCATCCTCGTCCTCGTCCTCGTCCTCAGCCTCGGCCTCACCTATGTCAGACTCGGATTCGCTTTCCGATAAAGCGTCATCGTTTGAAACACTTTCCCCCTCTTCATCCTCGCCGTTATCCGATTCGCTTTCTATACCCGAGGAATCCTCATCGTCATCTTGCTTCGTGGTGAGTGTCTTTTGACTATTTTTAACATCCAGTACCTACAATAAAATAAAACATATATTATTGGAATTATATAAGTTTTTCAAACGTTTTATAAATTTTTTTTAAATAAAAAAACAGATTATAACTCTATAAGAATTTTATAATTAAACTTTATAAAAATTTATAAGTAGGAAACTTACGGCCAATATCTGATGAACTGCAGATGGAGTCAGATACGGGCAGATGTGTGGAAACACGCAGCCGACTAACGAACGGAACAAATGATCGTTTTTGGACAGGAGAGATAACAGAAGGTCCACTACCACTTCGACCCATTCGGGTTCCTCGTCCGCAGTCACTGCGTTATTGACCTTTTTATGTCCCTTGGATTTTTTATTTAATCTTTCGTAACAACACTGAAGTTCGTTAATCGACATAATCGCCATTTCGGGATCGGAGAATAACTGAAGGCCCATGTGCAAATTCATCGTGTGAAATATCGGCAAGGCTTCCGAATTTTTTGTATTCTTCTCCAGTTTCTCAATCAAGTCCATCACTTTCTTCCAAGCGCCGGATGCCGCATCGTTTAACGGTGATCGCAATCGTATCACGTTGGCTCGGAATTTCGATTCTAAATCGTGAACGAGTGCGCTTAACAGATTTCTCGCGTTGTCCAACTTCGGTAACTTGTGATCCAGAGCGCGATAAAAGGAATCCTTAAATTGTTCTAAAAAATAATAATTAAATTAATAATTTATTTCAGCTCGTAATAATTTTGAAAAAAAAAAAATACACATGGCGTACACTTACGAGCTAGCTCGGTTCCAACATTCGACACTTCACACAATCCGTAATTGAACAGGAACGTCAGCTGCTCGAGTCTCCAGTCCTGTTCTAAGAATGTCTCTTGACGACCCATCAATCTAATGGAAAAACATGTTTAATGCAATAACAAATAATTATTTTAATTATGTTTATTACAGTAAATATCATATATATATCTCGTGCCAATTACTTTGTTAATAGTTGCGCTGTGTAACTTCGCTCGGCGTTCGTCCACAATTCCGCTCTTGCACCTTCACTTTCTTTAGTCGTCTTATTCTCTATGATTTCTCGATATAATTGGCACAATTTCTTGATACCGTCTGTCCTCAGATTTCCCGTAATTATTTGAATCACCTTCACGCCGGTCTTCTTTTCGATCATCAAGTCACCAGGATGCAATATGAGCTTCTTCAATATGCTCAGCTGTGTCTTGGTCTTGATATCTTTATCGCTTGTAGCGGACACCATCAGATTTAAAACCTTTCTGAACGCTACCAAAACCTCATCGTTATTATTCCTCTTGCAATTCGAAAATTTCTTCAACATGTGTTGCAGAAGATTTGGAGACAGTAATAGTGGAATTAGATTTTTGTCCGTAGCATTAAGAAGTATTAGCCGTGAAATTTCCACAGCGACGTATTCATCGCTCTTTGACGGCTTTATAAATCTCTGGTCGATGCCTTTCCAAAAGTCCGCCACAAATTCGGTCATCACCAGCTTTTCGCAAAACAGCTTGAACACTGGATGTTGATAAGAAACAATTCTAGGTAAGGCCTGAATAACAAAAGAAATAAAAAAAAAATTATATAAGTGTTGTAATATATAATTCAAATATCTATTTTTTTTTATAAAGATTGTTCTGAAATTCTAAATAGCTTAAGAATGAAGCAAATGCTTGTCAGACAAAAGACCTAGATTTGATTGTTTTTTTTTAAATATATATATAAGCAATTTCGAATGGATATTATTTTTCTGTGACAAAAACAAAAGCAAAAAATAAATTTCAAAGCAAACTGAGTAACAATTGTCACAAATCAAGATATCCAGTGGGATGAAAATTCACAAAAGAAAGATTATTCAAGTCCTACTAAATGACGTACCGTTAATAGTTTAACAATATCTTCCACAGACTCCTTGGTAATAATTTCCTTCTTGCCCAAGTGTTCCTTTAAAAATTTATGATTGACTAGCGACGGATGCTTGTCTCTAATGATAAGCAGCACGTAGAAAGTATCCAGAGTCTGTTCGGACCATGGCTTGCCAATTTCCTTCTCAACAATTGGCCAGACGTTCTTCATAGATTCGATATCGAGCTGAACGATAAACTCGCTGAGAAACACGGCGGAGATGAATGACAGATGGCTGCGTTGTTTGCCGGCGTTCAGCAGGATCTCCATAATCTGCTGTTGCGTCTCGACGCTGTTGTGAGCAAGTAACTTGGACCTTATCAAAGCGCCGCAGAGCAATATACGTCCCATGTATATGTCGGCATTCTCCTACAAAGGGAGAAATTCGAGTATTAACACTGAAATACCATTTTCTCATAATACAAAAAAAAACCCAAGATCGCGGGTCTTACGCCTTTGGGATTACTGCCAGCCGGAGACAATTGGGTGTTCATTATGGACAGGAGCCTCTCCACGGACGTGTCGGGATGCATCATCAGGAAGACCGTCAGGGTGCTGTAGAAGCTTGTCCTGGTGACCGTCATCGAGGAACCCAGCCTGCGCACCAGACTGACTAGCGCGTGATTGAACTCCTTGTCGTCCGGATCCTGCTGTGGACAGACGAACGACGTTGGCGACGCGACAATTTGCAGAGTATCTCGCATTAGGTCCCTGCCTCTCTCTCTTTTGTATCGGATAGACAATCTAAGGCAGCGCGGTGAGGTTAACGGTAAAATTAATTTACCGTATTTTGTTGACGCAGGTAATTCAGCAGCGCGACCCCGGCGTTGAGTCGCACGGAGTCGTTGCTGTCCTTCAGCCTGTTAAAATTATCCAGCACGCTGGAATTCATCCTGTCAACCTTCCGCTGTCCAGCCTCGTCCGAAATCGCTCCACCTGCCATGTGCTCGTCGCGCGGTACGCGTACCGCAGCGCCGGCCATCTCGGGTCTTCCGACGTTTTCCAGGCGAAGCGGTGCGGGGACTACGTCGATCAAGCGTGTGCACGCGAATTGTGCGAGCGACGAGGGAGGCACAATGGGGCGCGATAGATCTCCAAAGCGATCGACTCTTTCGTACTATTGTATAAGTCGTCGTTCCGCTTCTCGCGCACATTAAACAACGAAAAATATTTAATTCTTTTCACATCGTCAAAAATAGATATCGCTCTAGTTGAATCGGTTTCACTTTAATTGATGATTAATTTAATCAGCCGAATCCCGTCAATTTCTATCTTTGTAATTCGAGCCCGATCTAATTTTTTTTCATACGTTAAGCGACGAAAAATTAATAATTCCACTCTCTGTTTTTAATAAAATAGAATACTTGGATGAGTTAACTATAAATTGCAAGTTACTCTCTAGAATTAAACGTTTTATTTTGAAAGTCAGATGCGTGTATATCTTCACGTTCATCGTAAATCACAGTGTCGCAACTTTCTGGAAGAAATTTGTGCAATATAATAATTTTTATCTTTCAAAGATCTCTTTTTTTTATATATATTTTTTTCTTACAACAGAAAAACAGAAAATTGTTATAAACATATGCTTATACGTGGCTTACGTGTCTATACTTTTTTGTGGCATATTGGGAGAACGATAATTGCGATCGAAAGTCTGTTCAAACGACACCACCGCGATGACATATCTCATTGGCGGCCAATCGCGCGTCCAAGCCTCGTGGAAGCCGTGCCGCTGCGCTCTTGACGTCGGTAGAGTTCCTCTAGTCAGAGTTGAGACACGAGCGGTCCTCTTCGTGATTGGTGCCGCCATATTTCAGTTTGTCGATGTGTTAGTTAATGTAAGTGAATAGGTGAAATCAGTTTTTGTTGGTATAGAGTACTACAGACAACAGAGTTGTCATGGTTGTCACACAGAATTGACAGAATCAAATTATAGAATTTTACAAAAGTAAGAAATTATTCTTCAATCATTGTATGGTATGGTTCTACAGAGTGTATCACCACAAACCGATTCTGCAACTATATCTAAAATTAAACAGTAACCAGTAGTAAATACTTCAGATAACGTTTCTGCGCACATTATTTGATATATTTACTATTGGTTATAGACGTTATAGATTCATACGTTTATTTTGTAATAATAAAAAATTATGTTACATTCATGTCGCATTTTTATTCTGAGTGTGAAAACATTTTGAAAATTATTTTAGTATAAGTTATAATTCATTTCCATGATTTGAAAGTTGCGCCAGCGAATTATTGGCTGTTTCCGGTAAGACTGAAACATGGCGTCTTTCCGCCTCATGTCTCAACTCTGACTAGAGGAACTCTAGACGTCGGACGCGCGATTGGTTTTGGTCGAGGCGCGACGTGCGCGGACGAGGAGAATCGAACCCTCGAGTCACTTAACGAATTTAGTCCCCCGCGACTTCGGATCTCGACGACACGAGGTACGGCTCAGTGCGCCGAAGTGCGCTTTCGTTTCAGGCTCGTCGCCGCGTCCGTGTCGCCGTTTCGCCTAGCTAAATTCAGCCCCGGCGCGCGTAGCCGGGCCGCGTCACGTACACACGATACACACACACGACGTCGAGAACGCGCGATCTCACGTCGGTAAATTATTGAGTGCCGGGTGGCGATGGTGTCGCTCACGACGCACGGTGACTGATTCGACTCACGCGGTCCCGGTCAGTTCCGTGCATTCAATATGGCAGGCCGAGGTGGCTACGACGATTCAAGGCAAGTATCGGCCGCGTTTACGGCCGTGTCAGGCGGCCCGGCGGGCCCCGGGCGGCCGCGGCCGCGGGCCGCGCGCGCGGCGGATCCGCGCGTCGGGGAGGCGCGCGTCCCGCGCGCGTACATCCCCCGGTTTTAAGGTTAAGTGGAGTTAACGGGAGTGCGGGGCGCAACACCTTGGCGTAGCGCCGCGGACACGCGGCTCTATTTTGGCCGGTCGCGAATCGCGCGGGGCCCCGGCGACGACGCGGCGCGACCCGCCGGGACGGCTCCGCGGAGCGGGCGCGACGCACGTGCGGTGCACGCCGCGGGAGGAAACGACGGGTGAAGGAGAGGTGGTGACAGACCGACCGAGAGGGAGGAAGGATCGTTTTGCGCGACAGGGAGTCGCGATCCGCCGCAGCGGCGGCGTCGCGGCCGAGTGCTGTCAGCATCCAAGCTCCGTCGCCCGTCGTCGTCGCGCGCTCGATTCCTCGAGTCGCACGTCGTCGTATCTCTCTCTCTGATACACATAATATTCACCTTGCTTCGCACATACACACACACATACAAATGCATGCACACGCGCGCACGCGTGTGCATGCATGCATACATACATACATGCATACGTGTATAGGCGAAATTTCTCACTTGGAAAATTCATCGGGCTGAAATGTGCAATAATGAAGAGAGGAAGTACAAATCCATGATTTCTACGTACATGCAATGGCTCGTGAACGTATCAGAATCTGTAATTTTAGAGTAGCAGTGGAATGCAATCGTTAACAGATTTATTTCGTGAGTTACATTAGCATACGTTTACAATAATATTCGTCTGTATTGAGAGAGAAGTCTTTTCTCTTTGGAGAACTCGTATAATACAGAAATGTAAGATACAGGAACGTCCTCTCAACTGCCTCGCAGGTGGACGGTAACGATTTGTAAACGTATGTGCATGTAGCAAGACTCAAAGCCACAGTCGAAACAACAGTAATGATTTTGACACGTTCCATGTTCGTAACGATACGTATTTTTCTTCATTCAGAGATTATCCCACTCACCGAAGTAGAAAACCGTTGCCGACAGAACCTCCGTATACTGCGTACGTGGGAAATTTACCGAATGGAATTGTGCAAGGCGACGTTGACAAAATCTTCGAGAATCTTAATGTCAAAGTCATCAGACTGGTTAAGGACAGGGACACTGATAAGTATGTATTAATTGTGAAAGAAATGAATTTATATCTTAAACAAATCTAATGAGACTGGCTTTTTCATCTTTTTTGTTTGCAGATTTAAGGGCTTCTGCTATGTCGAATTCGAGGACTTGTCTGATCTCGAGAAAGCGCTGGAAATGGACGGGGCGGTAGAAGTAGACAAATGTCTGATCAAGATCGATGTAGCGGAAGGAAAGAGAAACGACCGTGGCGGCGGTTTCGACAGGAGAGGTCGCGGCGGCAGCGGCGGCGGTGGCGGCGGCGGGAGCGGATTCAAAGGACGGGACGCCGGTCGTAGTGGATACGATGATTTCGATAGTAAATCCTCATATTCAAGTAAACATGCGCTTTTTCAAATTAAAAACAATTGTAGAATCAGCAATACAAATCTCGCATTTGTATACACTAACACGATACTAACGCCTATAGCGCCGAATTAATTCTCGCTTCGCTTCATTCGTGGCACGAATTTCAATGTGCTGCAAATCGCGGCGACGACAAAGTTTTACGAACGTTTTTTGTCCCCTCGCGATGCGCAGGATACAGCGATAGAGGCCCGCAGGGAGGTAGGCAAGGCAACGATAGATGGGATTCTAGAAGTAATAGGGGCAATTACGGCCAATTCAACGACGACACAGGTGGGAACCGTGACTGGTCGCGAAGTACGTCTGGCAGATCGTACACTAATAAACCTCCACTTCGGGGAACCGGTCCGGAACGAAAACCGTTTCAAGAGGACCCCTATCAGAAAGATGCTCCTCCACCAGGTATGTCCCGACAGTCTTTCATGCAAACTGTCAGTTCTTAATCAGTCTTTCATTAACTATGGCACGGAGTGATAGTCGGAATCGAATCTAAGATGTGTCGATCACTTCTACACAGGGCCACATGTCATTCCGCAAGAATATTCCTATAATTTTTATATTTTTATTTTTCCTTCATATAAATTTACAAAATTTATTAACAATGAAGTTATTAACAAGAATTAAATAACAATGAATTTGTCAACAAGAATTAAAACACACATTAATAAAAAAGAACCATATTAATTAGAATTAATAGAATTTGAGTTTCTTGAAACTAATTGTTCTATTTCTAAACTATACAGAATTTTAAAAACACATTTGAAAACCACATTAATAAAAAAAACCCATATTAATTAGAATTAATATAATTTGAGTTTCTTGAAATTAATTGTTCTATCTCTAAATTATACAGAATTTCAAAAACACACGTTGAGAGAAATAACTTATTATTATTCATATGCAATTGCACTTGTTTACTTTAGACACTACTGGAAGGAAACGTCTGGAGCTCAAACCAAGGACTGTTAAAGAGCCTGTGAATGCAATTGCGGAATCGAGTAAAACAAGTTCCATTTACGGAGGTGCAAAGCCTCGGGAGGAAAAAATGCAGGAAAAGTAAAAAAAAAAACTAACGATATCACCAATAGTCTCAGATTTCCCCGCGGAAATTGGAGAGAAAAACATTGTTGACAAAATTTTAAAACCAATCCAAGATTTCCTCATAGTTTCCTAAAAATCTAGTGGTGATTCTTCGAACATTCACAATCTGGAGATATTCTTTTGTTTTTAATTCTTACAAGGGGTGTGTGTCACCCGCAAGGATAATATATATATGTATATATATATATATATATATATGTGTATATATATATATATACATATATATGTATATACATATATATGCTACAGACATAAATCTATTGCAATTCTCCTGAGTTTTTTCGCGCATTTTTTAATCACGAATAAACGTCTTTCTTCTAATGGTCTTTTGTATTTAAATTAACTTCTCGATTCTCTCGAATGAAAATAGAGTACTTGTAACTACAATATACATAAAAAAAAAGAGGAAAATGTGTATGCACAAATGCATGCTCCAATAGTGATAGCGATTTATATACATAAAAATGATTGTTAAGATGCTACGCAGTTGAGTACATTTTAATACTCGTGTCAATTTAATGTTGGGTTTTGTGTCTGTAATAATAACTGAGGGTATATGTACAAACTTATCACAAAAATATAAAATGTCACAGCATGTATATTTCATCTTAACGCTAGTATTTCTTATCTGTACTTGGAGACTATAAGCCCGGGATTTAAAGAAGTACAAAGGGAAGTGGGCGACTGCTATTAGGTTTCGTTTCCTTCCACCAGTAATTTTTACGTTACACCGTACAACGCCTGATCATTGTGTATCAATCGTTAAAAGAGACATACAAACGTTCGTTAACATATTGCAATGATAGCAATTGTTCAAATATTACTGAACGCTCGTTCTTACTTTTTTTTCTTTTCTTTTCTTTCCAATCGACGAGAACGATAGAGATTGTGAAGTATAACATGCGAATGATTCGACGAAAAAATTTCTACATTGCGGGAAGCGATATACAAAGGGGGATGCGCCGATTACTATACATTAATAATTATGTAATGAATTAACCAGTGCTAACAGTGACGTTGAGGAATTGCGAGGGAACGTCGTGAGGATAGCAAATAAAAAGGAAAAATAAACGAAAACTCGGAATAATAATAATAATAAATATTATGTAAAACAATGCTTGTATATGATAATATTTCCTGAATAAAGTAGCTGTTTGCCTCGTAGTCTGTGCAGTGTAATTAGGGTAAGTGATTTACGGTTATGGGTTTAAATTAAAAGCGAGATGCGTATAAAACTTGTGAATAACACGCGGCGCGCGTGTTCGTAACATAACATTTTGTAAGCGCCGCCTTCCTGTCTTTCTCTCTTTAAATATACATTACAAGAAAAAAAAGAGAGAATTGCATATTGCGGAGAGAGACAGAGAATTGCATATTGCGGAGAGAGAGAGAGAGAGAGAGAGAACGCTACGCTTCACATTAAATTCTCTGTCTGTTTAAACATAATAAATATAATTAAATATAAACCATAAAGTAAAAAAACAATCGTATGTGTGTGGTGTGTATTACATGTGCATGCGGATATGAGACATTTATTGATACCATTATTTACAAATATACATTAAATTTTTGCTTTGAGAAGTCGTCAACATCACCGTGGATCACTCCTTGGTCGATGTATATAGCACGAGATATCCGATATCGAATTGCATACATAATTGCATGCGATATCGGCGTCATGCGGCTTTCAGGAGACGTAACGGAATGCCGTTCAGCTGTTCGCGGTTGCCACGCCTCAACTTAACTCCGATTCATCGTTTGGTCCCCCTCCCCCCTCCTCCTCCCCCGCCCTCCACCCTTCCGCTCAGTTAACGCGATATCCTGTACAGTCAGTACACTGTACACAGTCTGCACTGCGCCGCGCTCCGCTCCGCGACCGCTACTCCGCGCCCGTACCTCGTCGTGACTCGTCGTCGTGTGCCTGGACGTGGTGCGACGACCGCGTTACGCTTTCGTCGGCTATACTGTATAGCGCGATCAGACCGCGGCTCGAGACGCGCCGTCTACGTACATCGAGCGGATATTTGGGCGAGCGATGCGGATCGAAGCGGGACACGTCCGCGGCTGAAAGGTAACCTGGTCTCTCCCCCGGTCGTTCGCGCCGTCGTCCGCGCGAGCGATATCCGTGTACGCGTGTATCCGTCACCCGCCGCCGCCGCCCGTCCCGTTTCTCGGCCACGTTTCTTCAGGCACGCGGCCGCATCGTAGTCCAGAAATACACGGCCGTGGAGTTGACCGCGACCTTCGCTGGCGCGACGCGCAGAGCCTGCCTACGCGGATTTACAACTCCCGACATGTCGAGCGAGAGCGTGAAAACGGTAAGTGGCAGCCTCGATCCGGCGCCTACGTGTCAAACGAATTGCTGCGATTTCGACTCCACCGAGAACGCACAGCTCCTTTGTTTATGAAAAAAAAAAAAGAAAGAAAAAATGAAAACTGCACGATCGGTGAATGAAAAACACTGATCGCGGAATATAAGTTAATAATTATAAATTTCAATTTACAAATTTGAAAAGAGAGAAACGGTTCGAAGTCACAATAAATGATGGTAAATGAAATATATTGAAAATTGTAAATCTTTGGTCTCTTTACTCTCTTGCAAAATAGATTTCGAAACGTACACGTTTGTTTGTTTTTTATCTGGAGAATACTGCGGCTAAATTTTTTGGAGCATTGTGAAACGCGCGTGTTCTTTTTTGCAGTTTGCGAGCCTCGAGACGCCCGGATACGTGGGCTTCGCGAATCTGCCGAATCAAGTGCATCGGAAATCCGTGAAGAAGGGCTTCGAGTTCACGCTTATGGTCGTGGGCGAGTCCGGCCTCGGGAAGTCCACCCTGGTGAACAGCTTGTTCCTCACGGATTTGTATCCCGAGCGAATAATTCCCGACGCAGTTGGTAGGCACCTAGCGAATTTTCTTTTACTTTGAAGCTTATTTTACACAAGTGTCGCACACACAAATGGAGAAAACATGATTTTTTTTTTATAATTTCCAATTGAAATATATTTTTACGAACAGAGAAAACCAATCAAACTGTCAAACTCGATGCTTCAACGGTCGAGATTGAAGAAAGGGGCGTGAAACTCAGACTAACCGTCGTCGATACACCTGGCTATGGAGATGCGATTGATAACACGGACAGTTTCCGTGCTATCATTCAATATATAGACGATCAGTTTGAGAGATTTCTTCGTGATGAAAGTGGTCTAAACAGGAGAAACATCGTTGATAATAGAATACATTGCTGTTTCTATTTCATCTCTCCGTTTGGCCATGGGTACGCATTTATGTTGCTCCATAAAATCAAATCAATTGTTTCGAGTTAAACCGTCGTGCAAATAATACCTGTACTAACGGTCCTTTTCCTGTCTGACCAGGTTGAAGCCATTGGACATCGAGTTTATGAAGCAGCTTCATAACAAAGTTAATATAGTACCTGTAATAGCGAAAGCTGACGTACTTACCAAAAAGGAAGTCCTGCGCCTGAAGAAAAGAGTCATGGAGGAGATTGAAGGCAACGGAATCAAAATATATCCTTTACCGGACTGTGATAGCGACGAGGATGAGGATTACAAGGAGCAGGTGCGTCAACTGAAAGAGGCTGTCCCGTTCGCGGTGTGCGGCGCGAACACCCTGCTCGAGGTCAAGGGGAAGAGAGTGCGCGGTCGACTGTATCCGTGGGGTGTGGTCGAGGTGGAGAATCCCGACCATTGCGATTTCATCAAGTTAAGAACGATGCTGATGTGAGTTGCTGGTTTATTATAATTATTTCTACGTTGATATACGTAAATCTGACGTTAATTTTTTTTTTTCGTACAGCACGCATATGCAAGACTTGCAGGAAGTAACGCAAGAGGTGCATTACGAGAATTATCGTAGCGAAAGATTGGCAAAGGGAGCTCCGGTGCCGCCTCGACGACAAACGTGAGTGTGACGATAAACATTTCATTTTTTGTAACTAGATTATATTTCCGACGTTCGTATCGGAGAGCGTTCAATTTCAATTTTTCTAAAATTAAAATCGCCCTAGATTATCTAAAAAGCAATTGTGTGTATCATTTAATTGTTAATATTAAGCGACCTAGGAGCAAAGAAGTACGAATCATTTTGAACGTTATCGTTTAAAAGAGTGAACAATTAAAAGTTAATTTTACATTCTGTTAATTTTACATTTTGTGTATTTATAACATTGTTTTTTTTTTTCCTCCATAGAATTGGCCATTCGTAACTTCTTTTTTCTAAGTCTTCCTCACGCATATACGAGTCTGTTAAACATATAAACCATAGATGTATACCTAGATATTCATAAAAGTATTATATTCGTCATCTTTATTGTCTCTTTTTCAAACAGCATCGCGGAAAACACCGAGAAGAACAGCACCGTGTCGGAGAAGGATCGCATTTTGCAAGAGAAGGAGGCGGAGATACGACACATGCAAGAATTGCTGGCTGTGATGCAAGCGCAGATGCAGCAACAGCAACCTTGATCGAGCATGCGTTTGTGTACCGACGTATGAAATGAGGGAGACGACTCCCTCATTGTTTACACGAGTGCCAAAAAAAGGATAAAAATTTTTTTCAGTGGCTCACAACACGACCGGGGTTTTGATTTTCGGCCGCAATATTTTTCTAAGCTCGTCTTCTATTAGGGCAATTTCTTTTGATACGCGCTCTTACGCGTTTTATAGGCATATATACATATATATATATACATCTCGTATAAGAGTACGAAAATACTAATCGTCTTTTGATAAGTGTATATTGTCGATGTGAGGGCTCTCGACGCCTCTGTTAGCCATCCGATGCCTTGTCCAGGAACCGACCAACAAAATCGATCTGAAAATTGCGACACAGTACGAAACAAATGTTTGCATATCCAAGGTTGGCAGGTAAGGCACTTAAGTAGCTTTGTTCCTTTTATAACGAAATTTATTCGAACGAGAATCGCTCGATTATCGAATTTTACTGTGCGAGTACTTATTGAGAATCTAATTCGGATTAATCTTTTTCTTTCTTCCTTTTTTTCTTAAAGGAAAGTATTTGTCCTCGATTTGTCAGTTTCTCACGTGTGATTTCCGTCTTAATTATTGACAAACCCCTGATTGTTTTATTCATATCGTGCATTTAAGCATAAGGATTTAAAAGTAAGATTTTATCGCATAAGTTAAAAAAACGCGACCAATGAAGCAAGATTGCTCAGAAAATATCTGATAAGCCTAATAACTCCTCATTTCGAGAAAGGTGTATGTCAGCTACATACGCAGTATTTATCAAAAGGAAAATCTTAGACACATGACGTGAAAAAAAAAATACGAATTTTACCTCAGATGATGAAGATGATTATACAATAGAGAGAATTGTGAAAAGAAGTGCCTTGCAACTTTTTATCTATCTCATTATCACAGTACGAGTATTAACATGCATAAGAAATGCAAAACTTTTTCGTATATAAATATGCAAACAATTTGTTACAATCACTTCAATTGCATTAGAAGAAAGTCTCACCTCCATAATTGAGCAATATATTCATAATCAGTTTATAGGCGAAACTTATATTTCCGCGAATAGTGAATAAAGAATCTCATATTGAACTCGTGTAAGACAGATGTACGAAAAGGTGAAGTGACGCAATCCGAAAAAAAAAAAACGTCTGACTGATCGCCCTAGATTATCTAAAAAGCAATTGTATGTGTATCGTTTAATTGTTAATATTAAGCGACCTAGGAGCAAAGAAGTACGAATGTGCCGAATTCATTTTGAGTTATCGTTTAAAAGAGTGAACAATCCAAAGTTAATTTTACATGTATTTATAACATTCTATTTTTTTTCTACAATTGGCCATTCGTAACTTCTTTTTTCTAAGTCTTCCTCACGCATATATGAATCCTTGAAACATATAAGCCATAAATGTATACCTAGATATTCATAAAAGTATTATATTCGTCATACATAAAAAAAAAAAACATAATGTTTAAGATAAATGTGACTACGAATTTTCCACGTGTATCACATACGAATTATCTTCTTGTGTGAATTAGTTTCACGCAATACAACGAAATATACGGAATGTGATTACATATAAGAAATACAAATGTATAAGAGAATTTCGTATACAAAACGTAAAATTGGAGATAAATATTAGGTTGGTAAATTAATTGAACCACGGCAATATATTTTACGCTTTTAATTCAGTCACACGACACTAGCTAGTTTTTACGATATTTACACTACAAAACAAACATTTCCATGTTTTTATACAGGAATTGTATAGATGCGTAATTAGAAAAATTTTTATATCTCTTTTATACAAATATATATCTTTTAACAATCTGTGCTACGCAGTCTAAGGTCTGTGCATGTAATAGTCTATCGCCATTGAGAATGCTGCAAAACCCGCAGCACCGACTATGCCCCCTTTTACACCGGCTGCAAGGCGAGTGAAATTGAAACGAAATTAAATAAGATTCAGAAATCGATTAAGGCGATGCTGGCAGGTTCGAATTACCGACATTACTGCTATGTTTATTTCACACCGATGTAGATTAACTTTGATCTCAGTTCAACTTACTCTTCATCTTTCTTTCAATTCTAAGAATTGGAAAAAGATGAAGAGTAAGTTGAACCGAGATTAAAGTTAATCTTTATTGATAGAAAAATGGGCATCAGTCAATTCGAAGATATTCATATATAACTGTAATGTCGATAATGCTGACCTTGCCAGCATCACTTTAATAATTACGTAATACACGGGGAAAATTATTGATACCTCTTAAGCCGATTAGTCCGCCCGTCACACCGCCCGCGTACGCGCTGTTCTTCCAGTCCGTTTTACCCCTGTACTGAAATTAAGACCGCCTTTTTACAGTATGTCAAGAATATATGTATCGTGCGAACAGATCATTATCCGAAAACAAGTTTCCTAACGTGCGTATCTGGAGCATTACCGATTCTATCGTGCACTCGACGGCGGAAAAGATGCATCCGAGTACGGCGAAGTTCTTCGCGTAGCTGAGGGTCGTGGCTTTCATCTCCCTTAGTATCTCTCGCGCGCTCTGTTGCTTCTCGACGCTCGCCACGTTGGGATTCACGCTGGAGGTGAACAGTCCGAAGGCCGCTCCCAAACCGTATCCTAAGGGGCAAAACGTTTCAGTTAGCGCGGTGTAATTTTGACAATGGTATAATCTCGCTGGTAATTCTTTGCGGTCCAAATTATTTCTTGCAAATGAGCGCATCGAGGAATCTCTTATCTGAAGGAATTTAGGGGGATTTCTAAAAAAAATAGTTTGTCAATTATAATCACACATACAAATTCGAATATTTGAAGAATTATACGAGCTATTGCAAATTGCATTATGTCGAGTACTTAAACTCGACGTGAGACTAGTTTTTAACGTTTGCTTAGAGAGGAGCGGTATGGAGAGACGTACCGAGAACACAACTCATGATGCTCTTGAACGTACAGCTTTCCATCACCCTCTCTATTCTCTTCTCCTCGATCGTCTTTATCTGCACGGGTCCCAACATCCTGGGGATTATTATGTTTTCTCTGTAGCGTTGCTGATTATTAATGAGGAACAGGGCGATCTTGTCGAGCTCGGCGTCGCTCAGCATCACCTTACCGGCGATCGCCGGTGGAATCGACGTCTTCGTCAAATCGGCGGAGTACATTTTTTCCTTCTTTTTTTTGGTTTTACAGTTTTTTACAATTTCCAACCCTCGAAAATGTAGGCTTGCGTCACGTCACGTCGCGACGAGCCTCAAATAGTCCGCTGGCTAGAGAACTCATCTCCTCGCATTAAGTAACGTTAAATATAATCGTAACGTAATATAATCTCTGAAACGCGGGAATATGTCGAATGTCGCGTTATTAAGTCTAAAGTCACGCGCGTTGAAATGAAATTTCATCGGATCGACGAGGCACAAGCACAAGAACGTGTGTAACCGGGGTCGCGCCGGACAGCATGTTTACCATGTGCTTCCTAACCTAACTCGCCGAGAAACACTCCGATCTCAGGCCCACATCTTAGGTTTGAATCTTCGCTAAGTGGGGTTTGAGTCTCCGCTAAGAGGGATCAGAGAGAAGCTATACAGCTATACTGCTACAAATGCAGGAGAATAATCAATAAATTCAATAAATCTCCGCTAAAACGTGGTTCGAGTCTCTGCTAAGTTTGATTCGAGTCTCCGCTAAGTGAGGTTCGAATCTTCGCTAAGTGGGGTTTGAATCTCCGCTAGTGACCGGGACACCGGATTCGAATGCGCGCGCGTGCTATAACTGCTACAAACTACAAGTGCGGGAGCATAAATTCAATAAATTTTATTAATTTAATAATAAAATAAAATAAAATAATTTTATTTATTTAATTTTATTTTCATCTTTTGTACATACATCTTTTCGGCTTGTCGAAAAGATAACTTAAAAAAGACATATTATACTGAAAAGTTTTTTCGCTCTTGTTATAAATGGCACGTATGCAGGATTAATATATGCTGTACGTATTTTGTTACGCAGCATTTAATTGCATATATTCATTCTTTTATCGACATTCGAATTTTATACATTGACGACTACAAAACGACTTTTATCTGCGGACCGGATAAACTTGAACTAGAGGTGATGTAACGGTAGAATTATTTATTTATATGGGTTTTTTAATTTCATAATAAGTATTGTCACCTAGATTGGCTCATTAAGTCCTGTTTGTATTTAATTTTGATTTTTAATCTTTAAATTTCAATTTATACAACTAGTGCATAAAATTTAAATTCCATTTCTTGAAAAATTTCGCCTCGGAAGTAATAAAAATATATAAACGTCTATACAAAATTACAGCATTATTATGAAAGTTGTACATGCTAAGACCGAGCTTATCTTACTTCTTCTATATGTCTCCCTTTTTTTTATTATGTATACCTTCTGCGTAACAAATGATTATAGGTGAAAAGAGAAACACAATCTTGAAGATCAGCTACCCTGCGAAGTCACAATTGTACTTTTTTTTTAAATATTAATTGGTTTTTATAAGTTTCCTGAATTCTAATTTCCTGTAGAGCTGCCGGCCCATGTGAAGCATTTGTATACACATTCCAGGCAAGCAGTAGAAGAGTAAGTAAAGCCTTATGAAAGTCGGGAAGTCAAAAGCGATATTGTAACTGTTTGGTAAAGAGATCGAGAACTTCTGAGTCTCTTCGAAGTACGGAATGCTCCGTTTTATTATGAGATATTCGCATATGAAGGCCATCGGATACGACGGTATCCATATCGTGTGGTGCAGCCACGTTAGGAAGGGCACCTCGATGTTCAGCATTTGCGCGCTGTAGTACGGATACTTGATTATATCCAGTGTACTCCATATGATAAGCATGAAGAAAACGTGCGGGCTGCTTTGCATACGGGGCTCCGATTCGATGAAAAACAGCATGAACATTCTACTGCTTATTTGTAGGAAAGCCATCATCGCGTTGTTCTTCGAGTGTCCGAAGAAAGGGGTTATTATCTCCACACATTGTAAAATTTGCATAGTCATTAGTGGCTTGCCGAGTATGGAGTACGTTTCCTGCAGGGACTCTGAAAAGGTATAATGTTGCATTATAACAAGACGTCTCTGTGATAATTCACGATTATAAATTTCAAGACGAAGAGCTAAAGGAGCTTCAATAAAAGTTCTGGAGCTTATTCATCATACAAAAAAAATAATAATTGAAAGTAATGTAATATAATCGTTGCGGTATTTAAATATAAAAATGTACCTGGCCCGTCACGTGAATATATTATAGCCATCACAGCGAGCGCAAAAATGAAACCGACAAATTGACAGACATTATATATGAATAGATAGACTTTCGTGAAATCCTCTGGAAAAACAATACGTGACAGTATTAATCTTGTAACATCGGGTATAATGATGATATCGATTTGTGACATATACGAACCTTTCTTGTAACCAAATTCTACTTTGTGCAATTTATCATACATGTCGGGATAATCGCTAAGAATGTCACGCTTCTCGTCCTCGTTGTTATCCATGTCTTCGCTTTTCCACTTGTCGAAATCGATCTTGAGCCACGAGGGCTTCTGCGGCTGACTCGTTAACCTCGGCCACCAGCCATTATGTTTCTTTCTCAGGGTAAAGTCGACCTCGCGATCGATTACCTTGTAACTACTCTCCTGCAACAAACATATTGCACACGAGTTATCTTTAATATAATTCACATCGAATATGGACATATCATATCGATTTAAACTTTTGTCATTACATTTGGATCGATAGGCGAGTGAAGACTTAAATCGAAGCTGTAACTGTTCATCCCTCTAGCTCCCTGTCCGTAGGCTGTAACTTGCAACGTAGTTTCCTTTAGGTTGACATTAAGATCCTATGGAAAATAAGGGCACACGATTATACGACAATTTAATATATTGGTATCCCGACAGAAACTTTACAAACACATGGAAGATCTTGTATATGTTCTTACAAGTGTCGAGTGCGTAGCGTACCTTTACATCGGTCAGGTCTACCTTCAAAGTGACCTGACTCTCCGTCTGTGCCCAGTACACAAACGGCTTGAGCGTGTTGGACATGACAACCTGGGCAAGAACAGAGATCTCTTGCCTGTTATTGCCGTGCCTCTCTGCGAATCCCGTAAATTCAGCGGACTAGCTCCGTTTTGCCTTGTCAACTTTTCACTTGTCACTCCACTTGACTGTTGAACCAATTGAGCACAATCAAGCGGAGGAAACTCCTTACATTGTATAACAATCGTTACATTGCATTTTACATTAATATGTTAGGATAACCCGATCGGCGGGGCGAGGGAGTTGCCGAAGGTGGCGGGGACGGTCGGAGCAAGCCGGCTGCCGGAGCAATGTTGTTCCATGTTATTGATCGATTTTTCACACTTGCGCAATGAATTCAGCATCAGTGAAGTATATTAACCTCCAAGAAGAATTTTGAAGAGATCATTTCGAATAAAGTATCACATATATCACATTTAATATTTCACATTTCTAATAGATTTCTTAAAATTGTTTAATGTTTTAGATAAACGTAACCACTAATTGTAAGTCGACGAACTCGACATACTCGATAAACAGCAAACTCGATAAACTCGAAAAACTCGATAATACTGACATCGAGATCATGGCAAGAAGATTACATCATAATCGAGATCACACGGCTTGCTTTGACAATTCGGAGCAATTTTTAGTGAAGAAGCGTTTAGAGACGGCTCATTAAAAATGTTAACTTGATACTAGCGTCTGTGTACACAACATGATGGTCGACCATCAATGAACGTTAAATAATTACTTTTCTCTTATAAATTATATGAACATTCCAATAAATTGATTATATTCCTGTAAATTACAAAAAGTATTATAATCAAAAAATTGAGTTTTTTTTAAGAATTATTTATATGTACAACAATTTTATTCCCAAAAGTTATTTGTGCATTTTACACAATTATAATTGGAGACAAAAGATTTTAATGCCGTGTTGCACTTTCTATACTTTAAATTGGAACATACACACGATTTGACATTGGGAAGAAAAAGAGAGAGAACGAAAAGTGCAAGAGCCCCAGCTCGGCGGGAGGGGGGGGGATTGCTCTAACCTACAATCTGCCACGCGAGTCGCGATGCAACGTTGTTTACTGTGGAGGGGAGTCTGCGGTAGACGAGGGACCCCTTGAACCCCTTCGGGTGCCCGAAGGGTTTTGCACGTGTAGTCTAACTGGCGATGCCAATTTTCGAAAATGGCCAACGCCGAGGTGCTGCAGCTGGACGTGTGGAAGGGCGACTGGGGCCTGCCGTCGGTCGACATAGAATGCTTGCAAGTCCTGGTGCGTTGAGTATTATAGGTTATGACACGCGCACGCTGACGTTTCGTTTCCTTTTTCTCGTAAAACGACGTAGAATTCGTCACGTGCGACACGCGCGAGAAAACGTCAAGTGTCTCCTCCCGCCGCGTGGATTCTTCGGCCGACTTGGTATCTTTGAAAAAAAAACGTCGGGAGCACGTCTGCGGCTCCCGAGCGAGTGACTTGATTGAAAATAAAGGATTCTTGGCGGATTATTCCTTGGAGGGAAAAGCAAACGAGGCGATGTTCCCCTGGTAATTTCGAGTGAATCTTTTATGGAGTTCTTCTTTCAAAATTTGATTGCAAAGATGTGTAAAATACAGTACTGTGATTTGGTTGGCCGAAGAAGCCATCGGGGAAGGATTCTTGCTGCCTTAGAAATGTATTAGAGAGGGACAACACGTATGTAGAGGTATCAAGATGCTTAAACTCAAAGATTGAATGCGACACCAGTGAAATGAAAGCGAGAGAAAACTGAAACATTCCTCATTTCCTTGTTATATCTAAGTTATTAAAGAGTATTAGCGCTTTTCAATCAAGCCCCATCAAAACTATATAATCTATACATCATCAGTTGTAATTATTTTGTCATTGAAAACTTAATGTCATATTTATCTAATAATAATGTTACAACTTAAAAAAATGATGTAACAGACGGCACTCGTTTCCTAACACAGTATCATGTTATATTTGTAGGCATATGCCAAATTCAGTGGGGTACCCTTAAAAGTAAATCTAGCGAGCAATCCGTTTAGAACACCAAACGGTCGATTACCCTTGCTTAAGGCTGGTCTACGTACGTTGGATACGGTTAAAGACATACTGCCCTTTTTTAGAGCGAAACATTATAATTCTGACTATACGTTAAGCGATAAGCAATGCGCAGACGTCATGGCTTATGATGCTCTGCTTAAGGAAAAGTTGTATCCAGCCTTCCAATTCATATGGTATGAGATATGTTGAAACGCACCAGAATAAGATGCAACTCGGTGCTTATGGAAATCTCAATGATTATTAAAATTCACAGAAAGTAACAGAAAGATTGAGAAATTTGTCTGTAACTAGATCTATTGAAAAAAAAGAACTTATTTATTCATTATTGTTGCTGAGAATTTTTCTGAGAGATTAATGTCTTTAAAGTCTAAAATGTAGTCTTAACAGACTTATCCATTAGATTCAAGATCGACAGAATTCCTGTATTGCCTAAGACCCTAAGTGTTATTCGCAAAAATTATACAAAAAGACTAGAATTATTAATGATTTCAGACTAAGGAAAGCATGATTTTCTAACATACGCAAGGTAGAGATCAAAATTGTGGAAATGACTAGTAATAAATTTGTCTTTAAATTGATCTAATTTAATAATTAGGTAAATGAATTATTTGTCTCAAGTAGCAATATTAAAACATCTTTAAGTATGAGATGCACATTATTCTGGTCATTGCGTACATGTTTGTCCAGTCCTCTAGTTTTGCAGAAATAATATTAATAGCGTCACCTTAGCAGGTGCATTTTAGTGTATTTAGAGCCTTGTGCAACATTGCTTTTGTAATTATAGCATATATAAGGGTGTATTATAATAATTATTATAATTTATTTTTAGGTGGATAGATAAGAAAAATTTGGACGACCTAATTAGACCGTGGTACTGCAAAGCGCTATCTTTTCCATTTAATTTCTATTATCCAGGAAAATTTGAGCGACAAGCGCATACTTTGATGCAAAGTTTATATCCTCTGGAAGATAATATAAATGTTATCGAAAATGAGGTACGTGTAACATGCAGAATAATTTAGAGCACATTTAGATGTTTTAGGAAGACGTTTATATAAATGAGAAAAGACGTAATATTTAATAAAATGCAAAAAACTTATTTGGATTAACTTTAAAAAGATCTCTGTGACAACAGGTGTATTCGGAAGCACAAAAATGTTTAACGTTACTATCCACAAGGCTTGGAGATACAGATTTCTTTTGCGGAGAGCAGCCTAGCACAATAGACGCCGTTGTGTACTCGTATCTGGCGCCGTTGCTCAAGGCTCCGTTACCAAACCCGGTCTTGCAAAATCATCTGAAAGCCTGTACAAATCTAGTGAAGTATGTGTCGCGTATATCACAGAGATACTTCGAGAACGAATATCAGACTTACGAGAAGCATAAAGCTGAGAAGAATGTCGAAAGATCGAGAAGAGACTCTGAATGTGAATTTCCCAACAAGAGAAGAAATCAGATCCTTGCTGTGCTTGTCGCTACAATGGCAATGGCGGGATATGCGTTGTTCACTGGTATCGTAGAGGTAAGTTCCGTTTATTCGGAGAGCAAAAAAATACGATAGAAATATAGAATGATAGAAAATCATAATCGTAAACGATAAATTTCTGCGACAGACAATTTATGTTGGATATTAATTGGTTTTCTGAGTTTTACCTTCTCATCTTTATTTTCATAACATTTAATACGGATTGTCTTTATCATACCTAATATTTACATTATGCAAGCTAAATCAATATTTTTTCATTTTTATAAATACTATATTTACTGTATTTTAATAGATTTTTGCATGATAAAATTTCTTTTTATATAATATCAAAATTTCTATATTTTTAATTTTTATTTGGATTGGATCGATGTATTTTGTGTAGTGAAATGTAATCAATTTAGCAAAATATATCTATAATATAGAAAAAGTATAAAATTCTTTATTATGAAAAGATATTGTTTATGTAAGTCTTAAAGACCACAAACAGTAGATATTGAGATTGAAGGTACAAGTAGCTTTATTTGTAGGTGCTAGTATATTTGTTAAGAAGCAGAAAGTTTATTAAAATTCCTAAGAAGAAAAGAAAACGTGAGTATTAGTGCGCATTGATAATATATTTTTACATGGAAATTAACCAATTAATTTTTATACATAATAAATACATTTTTGCTTCTTATCGCATACACTATAAATTATTGCGACAAGCTTGTGTATTCGCAATTAAAGTGGTTAAATAGTTATTTTTATTTATTTTTACGTGTTTAAAGTGGAAAAATTCCTATGCAAATAACATGGAATTTAAGTACTCTAACATTAGATGTAGAATTATACTTGTAAAGTATTCCAAGATTTAATATACTCTTCATTAATACGTTTAATAAGAACCTTAAATGTTTTATACATATATTAATTCTTTGGTGCATTAAGATAAGAAATAATATAAACAATCTAGGATAGGATTTAAAATGTTCCGAAATCAGTACATGAATAATTTTTTATTAAAACTAATAAAATTAAGATTACGAAGTTTTAAAAATGGAAGTAGTTAATAAAACTGTATTTGTCATTTAGCTTTAAACGAGTTTATTTTAACATACTTATTTGGGATTTTATTATAAAAAAATGATTAATGTAGAAAATTTAAATCAGAAAATTCAACAGCCATTACATCATATATTTTTTACTTGGCTTATTGTAATATTAAGAAAAATAATCCATGTTTATTAAAGGTACCAGTAAAGGATGACGAAATCTCAGACGTGCCGATGGAATACATGCTGAATGACGAGGATGACGAATAGCAGTTAGCAAAAAGAAAATTATGTTTTCACGACAAAGGAAGAGAATATAAAATTATTAAGCGCAGAAAAATATTCCGTTTCATGCAATATTTCGCAATGATTTACGTTCGAAAGTCTTGGTGTGAAATAGTCCTATATTCGTGACACAGCGAGAAAGGCAGGGAGATGTTACATAAATGTATAAATAGCAAAATATACATAACAAAGTAAATAAATATTTTGGAATATGATACACAATACCAACATATTATTAATTTTTTCCGATCTTATATCGCATCAAGATACCGCTCGTGGCATGGTGCACCTCTTCCGCGAAACTTTTAAAATTGTGGATGGTGGTACCGCCTAGAATGATTTTTATTCCTGGATTTTGCTTATTTAAATTATAAACGGCCAAGCTCTCCTCGTAAGTCGCACCTCCGATCATAAATATTATTATGTCTTGAGGCCTGTAAAAATGCGGGACGACAATGTATTGTATATCAATTTTTATCTATATCTGACACGCACGTGTTATATAAATAATTTACCTTCGTGACATTATCATGTTACCGAGATACGGAAATGCCTGCGTGCTTAATCTTCCTCTTATCAAGTCCTCTAGCGTTTCGTTTATTAAAGGACAATGCTGCGTATATATATTATCTACCCCGCTTAATCCTTTAAATAACTTTTTGGTTATTTTGGCAACTGCTTCCCGATCAAATAAATTACTCTGTCTTGTGTTAACACCGCTGTATTCTAGTATATTATATACAAGCTGGAAATATAAGATTTATTTATTACATACATCTTTTTCATAAAAAAAACATCAGTTATATATAATACCTTAATATATTTGTCTGAAACATTCCTCTTCTTAAGTAATTCTACTAAACCATTTATGTCATTGCTCGCGTGTTTTTCGTAATGCAGCGCATAAAGCATGACGAGTCGAACGGTATCCACATCTCGTATTTTTTGATTGCTGATAAGTGCTTTTATCTTTTGCAGCTATAAACAGAATGATTAAATTAGATACACATATTAAAGAGATTTATATAATTCTTTTTTCGTGATCGGTTCGTGAAAATATTACCTGTGAGGAATGATCAGTCTGGCAGCTCAATTCTTGTTCCAATTCTGATACTTCTAACAAATTGTGCTTTTCCACGAGAGACGAAAGCTCTCCGACTACCGTAACGTGCTTCGATACAGTACCAGAAAGTTTCTTGAAGAGCGGATATGTCTCTACGAAATGTTTCATGTCGGCTATGCTTTCAACCTTTTGATGCTTCTTGGCTTTCTTTTGAAACTCTTCCATCAATTCTTTTATCGTTTGTCCTATTTCCCCGAAGTTTAGATACAAGTTCTGCACAAGAATACATTCTTTTAACACTCACAGAGTTTTTCGCAATGAATAAAATTTATAAAATTATTTAAAAAACAAAGTAATTATGAAATCTCATTCAAAAATTTCACTTTATTTTTATTAATTTATATCTACTTTTGCTATAATTTTAGTTATGAATGTACAAGCAGTCGAAATTATAAATGACGAATTTTCTTACATTCGCGTAAAAGTCATCGTGCTCTGCGCTCAGAACAACTTCCTTCAATTCCTTCGAAATGCCTTTCACATGAGACAGGTTGACTCGATTATTATTAATCGTCAGTAGTTCGTGTACCATCGCTTGATATGTCCACTGATTTAGCAACGGCGTGACAGGATCGTCTCTCCTGTCGACTATCAGAAGGAGTGGATTGGACTCCTGTCTGAATTCGAAGGAATTCGACTCTTTACTGAGCACCTCCCTTATCTTCTCTGCCAACCTCTTTGCCATATCCGAGCTGTTTTGATATCTGATATACGGACATTTCTTCAGCGACAACAAAACGGAAGTTATTCCTTGGACAGTTCTATGTAAATGCACCGGATCCCAGATCAGCCCTTGAATCGCAACACAAACGACCGATATGAAAGAACGGTTTTTTGTTGAGACACAATTTCTTACAAATCTATACGGCAATGAGTTCTCGTGGAGGAACCATTACCTTCGGAGCAGGCAGTTATTCCAAGCGAGAATAAGTGCGGATTAATAGCTAAATAATCCGCATAGTATTCGTGCACCTCCCGGACCACCTCTCGCTCGTCGCTCTCCGCCAAAAGTTTTATATCCGCTTTGGCGATGATGTTACTGAAATCTAGTTAAATATTACACGATAAATATTACTCCTTTCCTTTACGACACTTCTTTCAAGTTTCATAACATCTGAATTAACAAGAATATAATTTTCATAAGGAACCATGTGCGTTGCTACTTACAAATATAATATGCTCCGTATTTCGGGTATCTGAGCTCCTTGCAAAGCAAATCGATATTTTCCTTGGTCGGCCTTACAAACACTATGCACGTCAAATGTTTCAGGGTGTCGTTATGCGCAGCGGTGTCTATCCGTTCAAACAGATACACCTCTTTCATCAGTATCTCGGACTGACTGTAGAGCAGGCTGACTATACTTGTCTGAAAAATAAAAAAAAAAAAGAAATAGAAGAATGACGATATATTTTTGAAACCTGTCGATCATTGTTCTATTTTTTTTTTTTTGCAGTGTTACATTTTTTGCGTTTAAAATAAAACGGGCATGTATAACTGGAGAGGAGGAAAAGCGGGAGGTACGGAGAGTTCAGCTGCAAGAAGAAAAAACTCACAGTACTCGGTTTTCCTACCGTTTGTTTATCCATCAGCAGAACCTTCATACCAGGCCCACTGTCTTCTGTCATCTTCGTAATATAAAACTTCAAAGCGGTGACGACGTTCATCCTGACAGTTGAATCGGCGCCTCGAGCCGTTCAGCGATTAACGTATATATACACGCGCGCGTGTATCACGCCAAATTCATATTTCGTTTAAATCAGGCGCAGATCAGCTGTGGAAAGACGCATATGTAGATCCGTATATACATACCCCATGTAAAACCTCTCAAGTACGTACCATGACGCACACTGACGAATTTTGACAACGATAAGACAGAATTGCCGAGTGGACTATAGATGTATAGAACGTCGTTCGCGCAACGGCGCAGCTGGTCCCCGATTTCACGTTTGATTGGTCCATTTCCGAGACTCTGGTGACGCGTGACGTCATAATACGTCGATATTAATCAAGCGCCGATTAATTTATCCAAGTGATCTCTATAGATTATTTTTGTTCTACATTTAACGAACGATAAATATAAAATAAACGCATCCCAAAAATGCTGTCCTTTTCAAGTGTAGCTAAGGAATCGCAGCATCAATCTCAGCCAATCAAGCAAACCCTAAAGCCCGTATCAGACTAAAGATTGAGACTGAGACTTGAATTGGGAATATTGGGATTTAATCAATTAATAGGGCTTTAAGCCCGTAACAGACTAAAGATTGAGATTGAGATTGGAATGGAATTTGACCAATCAAAACAAAGTTCACTAAATTTGAGATTGGTTTTCTTTCCTCTAATTGGTTAAATCCCAATTCAATCTCAATCCTTAGTCTTGATACGGGCTTAATTGGCTGCACACACACCTCAAAAAAAGACGGTTTATATTAATTATAATTTCTATCAATGTGTAGATCAACTTTAATCTCAGTTTAACTTCCTTTCTATCTTTTTCCAGTGTTCTAAGAACTAGAACAGGATAACGAGACAAATTAAACTGTGATTAAAAGTCGAATTACATTAGTGAAAGAAAAGAATGGACATTAAATGAGCGGCACGGCACTGTATTGTGCGTGCACGTCACTGCGACCGTGACGCGCCTGCGCGCAGGAGACCGGGCGCCCGTCGTAGTATTGCGCGAGTTTTTACGGCCAGCCTGACCGACAGACCGGACAGACAGCAGCGGTGTTCGTGGCGAGTGAGGCGGGCTTGCCGTGTGCGTTGGCTTTGGCGTTTCGCTTTCACCGAGCGTACGGAGACCAAAGCGAGAGGCCCCCGCGAGATCTTCCTCCCCCCCCTCCGCGCCTTCCCCCGCGCGTCGACGGGATGCACCGGTGCGGCGTCTGAAGTGAAGAAGACGCGGACTGGGATACCCGTCCTCGCGGATCGTCGCGGTGTTTTGCTTCCACCTCCCCGGTGCCCCACGGACGAGCGTCCACGCCGAGCGTGCGTGTCGCGGCCACGATGGCCCTCAGCCAGACCAGCGTGGTGAGTAAAATAAAAGAGACCCGAGCGAGAAACTGACCGCCTCTCTTGCGAGGAGGTACGCCCGCATCTTCGCGTCTCACGCGCTCCCGTCCGGGCGACAATTCCTCCGCGATAACGGAGCGCGAGGAGTGGCGAGGGGGAGGGTCGGGGGAGGGAGGGATAGGAGGAACTTTCCTCCGGATCTCCCGACATCCCCATCCGCCGGAGAATGTACCGCGCGCGTTTCGTTCGGTGCGGGAGGACGGATCGTCGAGGAAGTCGCAGCATCCCCCTCCCCGGTTGAAAGAAGTCGTAATGAATGAATGAACCGCGAGACGCACGTTTGCCACCCCTCGACGTGGCCCACCCGATTCCTCGTCGTCGTCTCGCAACAACACCGTCGTGTCGCACCTGAATCGCCTAGCCTCGCGATTCCGTTCTGCGATATCTCTGAGCAAACGTTCGCACACGCCGATGTTTACATACACCGACTGATTTACTCGAAACGCCGCAATCTTTTTCCTTAAGGTCAATGTTCTCGGTACCTAGTTGCTAGTGCCTGATAGGAACGCGCTGGAAGTAAGCTGAATTAGGGTCAGGATGAATCAGCAAGTACAGACGTCCGTGCGACACACGATTCTTCTGTGCCTCCAATGCCCAAGTTAATATTGAATCGTTTGCCAAAAAGGGCTTGAGCAGAAGAGAAAATTTGGTTTGAGCGTAAAAGATATTGGAGCGTACAGTAAGAATATATCTGCATATCTATACGCATAGATTTGCATTCGCTTTAATTTTATTTGCCGATAGAAAGGCATTATGCGTGTTTATGTAACATTTCTCGATCGGTCTGACTACATAAATTTATGGGGATATGACCTTCTCGTGCGTGCATACGTACTTTCAATATTTTTGCGATGTATCAAAGAGACTGAATGCCGCGTAAATTGTTTTGCAGCTGAAATTATACCACACTGTGATAGAAGATGTAATATCGGGAGTGCGAGAGTCGTTTATAGACGAAGGCGTGGATGAGCAGGTCTTGCAGGAGCTCAAGCAAATATGGGAGGCAAAACTAATGGCCAGCAAGGCCGTGGAGTTAAATCCGGATCCACCGGAGCCGCAAGTTCCTCCAATCAACACGCACAAAGCCGTGTCCGTTAATAAAGGTACACATTTTGATAGAGATCGAGCATTAATAACTTTTCATTTTTTTTCTAAGTAACATACAACTTATACAAGGTGGTTCACTGCTACTGGATGTTCCGTATCGAGCATTGAGTAATGGTGATGCATTTTGTAGGAATAATTCATCGCTATATATATTTAATGTTGTAACAGCTAATGTAGGAAATCATTTTGTACAACCATCTGCCGGAAACACAGTGTCGCAAACGCAATCTTCACAACAATCGCAACAACAACAGCAGCAGCAGCAGCAGCAAGCGCAAGCACAGCCGCAGCAACCATCGCAACCTCAGCAACACACTCATCCTTCCACGGGTACCACATTACAGCAACAGCAGCAGCAGCAGCAGCAACAACAGCATTCGACGACGCCGGTGCAACAAGTGGTGACCGCTTCGGCTGTGCTCGCTGAACGACAAGTGCCCATACAGATCACCTTACCTCCACAACCTGGCATTCCGGACGGACCGCAACGGATTTTAAGCATACAAGTTCCTGCATCTGCTCTTCAAGGTGAAGATCTTACTGTGCTCCATTAAAAATAACTTGTGCAGCATAAATCGAACATATTCTGTATATTTTTTGTCTCGTTATTTATAATTTTTTTTTAATCTGTAGAGATTTTCTGTAAAAAGGTCTTCTACATAATGAAAATACAAATATATTTAGCTATATTATAATTTAAATATATATAGATACATTTATATTTTTTGATATTTTTATTGTACTTTATTATTGTATAAAGACCTTGCAAAATAGATGTGCACACACATATGTCAGCTATTTATATAAATTAAAAAATTGTGTTTTTTTTTCTAGCCAACCAGCTACATACGATTTTAACAGGTTCGGTAATTTCCGCCGCTATGGGTCTTCCAGCGAATTTAGCTTCGGCTCTGCTGCAACAGCATGTAAATTCTACGCTGCAGGGGCAAGCGACATTAACCCCGTTGCAAGTGAATCAGCCGATTCAGGTTGTCACACAAAGTACAAACAGCGTTGTCACACAAAGGCCACCTCAAAATCAGGTAGAGTCAGAAATGTATTTGGTCTATACGACGGAACATATAACGGAAAAGATAAGATAAATACATGCACGCACACATGTATCACGTATAACATACCATACCTCATCCGTTTATTTTTTCCAGCAGCAAAATAATATAAATCAATTGGACGGAGGAGTCGGTGATTCTACTGACGATGATGATGATGAGGAGGAAGAGGATAACGATGATGACGACGAGGATATGGATGAAAAAGAGGAGGAAGAAAACGACGAGGCGGCGGCTCGTGAAGAGGTAAATAAATATTTATGAATAAATTTTCGCGTAAGCTGAACGGTTGTCTCACAAGAGAATTACTTGTAGGAACCCCTCAATTCTGAAGATGACGTCACGGATGACGATCCTGCCGATTTATTCGATACTGATAATGTAGTCGTCTGCCAGTACGATAAGGTAAGAAAGTGATTCACATTTGACTTTACGATAAAATTCTCTACGATAATATATTTTTCAGTTCGGAGGTACATGCGATAACGTTTTTGTTTTCAGATTACGAGGAGTCGGAATAAGTGGAAGTTTTATCTGAAAGACGGTATAATGAATCTAAGTGGAAAAGATTATGTGTTCCAAAAGGCAAACGGGGACGCTGAATGGTAACTCTAGGTGCGATGTGAATATCGTGTTGCCCACGAGTAAGCTCGACTCAGGGACGCTGCGTGTGAAGGCAACTTGATAATGTGTTCACGTGTATAACCGCGTTAATGTGTGAAGAGATACCGACGATCTCCACGACGACGGGATTCTTTCACCGGATTGCGCGAAGCTGCTGCAAGTGGAAATGGCGGTACAGGGGAACAACGGCGAACATTGTTACATTATCACGAATATCATACTGTACACTTTGTGTTATATCTTTAGCCCTATGAACGACGAGATTTTTGAGATGTTGAGACAAGATGATTTTACTTGTCGACTGACTAGCTAAGTCACAGATATCAAATGTGTCAGGTTTTATTTAATTTTCTTTTTTTCGTTCTGACAATATTATTAGTTTTTTTTTTTAATATTCTTAATGATTTTCTTTAATCTTTTCATTTAAGGAAATTGAAGATCGAAAGTTAAGGGGAGGGAGGATAGAGAGGGCTAATATATATGATTTCCATGTAGTAGTGCGAATTATGAATATACGAGTGTAAAAGAAATTATGCGAGAGTCTCCTACAGTTAGTCACATATGTATTACTGGAAACTTGCTTGTGGGCGCCGAGATTCCTTCTAAAAAGATCCACGACGGATTAGTTAGCTTTTTCTAGCAAATGTGAGTGAACTTTATTGGAGCGGAAGCGCGTTATGTATATATATATATTAACTGAATGATATATATACATATTGACGAAAGCACCATATCGATTAGTGGATCTGAAGCCACTAACATCACGGACAATGAATGCAAAAATTGTACTTTATAGATATATATAATATATATTATATACAATATATATATTTTGAAATCCTCGATTATGAACTTTTTCACGTGGGAGGAAGTTGAAAACTTCCGTTCTATATTTGTGATCTGAAAACAGAACGGTATCGAACGGTTTCAGTTGAAAAGTTTTAAAGGACTGCAAAATCGTGATTTATTGTGTGCGATTTGGAGTAATAAAGTTGCGTTTTATTACTGTTGCCAGCATTGACGAGTTATGGCACACAAAAAAACTTGAGCAGTAAGTCGTAAGCAGTAAGCGAATCGACCAATCACAATCGAGAATGTAAGGTTATAACGTAAGCAGTAGCAAAACCAGTACGTTGATTTCTTTACTGCCTACGTTTTACTGCTTAAGTTTTTTTGTGTGCGATGGCTCTTTAATTTATCGAAAGGATTGAATAACATGCATTCAGAGCATTTAAGGGATCTATCGGTGTTTCACTCAGGAAGTTTAAATTGTTCGGTAAAACGGTAAAAAAACTTGATTTTTAAGAACTTTTGCTTAACAATGTCAACTCTCTCAAAAGAGAATTGATATTGTTAAGTGTTATGATATTTTCTAGTACTTTTAGATTTTTGTGTAATATTTGACAAACATCTTTGAAGTTGTATTGAAATTAAATCAGAGCTTCTAGAACAATTTAAATTGCCTTAGTCAAATAAGTTATAAGATTCGTGAATTAGCAAATTTTTATGTTATTAAACGCGCTAAAGTTTGAAGATCAGTGCCGTGAGCGTGTATAAAAATTACTCTTAAATTATATAATGTCTGAGTGGAGATTAATATTTCAGTAGTTTAAGATAATTGTTTAATTGGAGGAATGACGATATAAATAAATTGCTTCTACGAAACTGACAATGTGATGTTACGAATACGCCAAGATAGTGTGCAATTTATATATCGTATCGTATCGTACTTTGCCGAAGATACTTGGAATGTTGGCATAATGTTTAAATTTGAGTAATTGATTTTAAACAATCGGCTGAAACTCTAATTTTCTGAGGTTACCAAAAAAATGTATATATTTTATGAAATTTTTTTTTTGTGAAAATCATATATCTTGTAGAATATGATTGATATACAGAGGTGCTGTCTGTATAATATTTACGGTATCTGCGTTATATTGTTCGTCGTATGCCTTATATATTCCAAGTTTAATTTATAAATTAAACTTTTTGGAATTTGCAAAATAAATGTTTCACAAGAAAACTCTTCTCTATAGATGTATGTATGTTGTGTGTTTATTGCGTGTGTGCGCATGTTGATTCAAAAACTTTCGGATCGTAATTTCCTTAACGACGAGCATTCAATAGTCCGTACTTATATCCTTTATCTTGTCTCGTTATTTAACGCTATATATAATCGTTCAAATCGATACACGCGTATCTAAATTTGTTTCTGATTAACTATGGTTTGTTCGATACTTCCGGTTTTCAAAAGCATATTGATAGGCAGAGCTTAACAGTAAAACATGTTTTATTTTACTAAATACTACTTCCTTTAGTGTAGTAATTCAATGTTTTTCCAATGAATCACGAAAACGAGTCAAAATTATTATTATTAGACTCTTCAAACATAAAATATCAACATTTATACATATATTATCTTACATACAATAAAACTTTTGTAAATTTTTATTTAAAAAACGCCATAAAGAGAAACATTCTCGACGTCGAAGAGAATATTTCAGGACTGTTGAATCTCAACAAATATAAATTCCAATTTGCGAAGGAAAATGTGCCTATGTATATATATACATAATTTTTAATTACCTCCATTATAAAATACCAAATGGGGAAAGTAGGAAAAGTAGTTACAATTAAAATATTACAAAATGTACAAAACTCTCTAATTACATATATTAAAAATAATATCGTAACTTTTTCCCAACAACCGCGTCTATACTTAAGCAACGTTTCGATCGAATTTTTTTTTAATTCAAAAGACAAAATTCAATAAAAAGACAGACTGCTTTACTAATTAAAGCAATCTAATTTTTAATATCGAGGTCAATATACACTAAAAATCACATACACGTTTAGAACACGTTATGATGTTTACAAATAGAATTATACAGTAAATTAACAAAAAATCCATAACCATCAATTTTAATTTTCGACATTAAATATTTCGATTGTGAAGATTTTGCAATTTGAAATCATATTTTGAAATCTGCAATTAATTTTTATACCATCCATCTGATTTCCTAGTACAAACGCGATTGTTTTGCCCTGTGCTTTATTTTACACATAAGACTGTGATATTTTATATGTATCTATATATCACTATATTGTGAATAATCATTTACAAAGGGAGCTTGACATGCAACTCATCGGTATGAGCATGTTGTAAGCCAAACAATTAATCACAATGAAAAATTATAAAATTTTAGCATCAAGTTTTGTTCAAGTTTTTTTTCAACTGTTCGTCGAATGAATGTTATTGCAGCTAAATGCAAATGCGAGATTGAAATATTTCGCAATTGCAGAAATTTATTGTTAAGCCTTGTATCCGGCGTTGCTACAAATCACCTCAAAATCTCGGACGGAGAGGGAATTGACTGATCACCGTACATTATCCGTATTATTTAAATGTGTTTTCTTTCCCCGTCCGAGATCTCGAAGCGATTTAAGAAATGAACAATTATTTATGCGCGTCTGCGAAACGCTTCGCGTTTGACCTTCTCCTCTTTTCTCTAACTGAAAATATCTAATCGAAGCCTTAAATTTTCTAAATGTCACGAATGTTACGAATTCCCCTTTAATTGAGTAACTTAATATGTAGAAAGATAATATATTACTGTAAATTAATAATAGCGAAACCTCCTTATTTAACGGTAATCAGTGAGCTTCCCCCCCC